GAGAACTAATTATTTCGTAATCTCTTTTCTCCAGCACACCAAAAATTCCACGAAATTTGGCTTCTGCAACTCTCCCAAAATCATACTGCAAAGCCACTGCCACAACATCTCATCCAATTTCTTCAAATTCAACCCGTGTAATCTCATGTCTAATGAGCCAATTCGCTTGGTTCATTCAAAATGGTCTATGGCGAAAAGATTCTTACCTTCAATCAAGCGGAAACGTCAATTTTGGCCAATCCTCTTCTATTTCTATTGTTGGTAAAATCAAATTCGGCATCTCAATAAAAAAATCAAACCTATATGCAAAGCACCAATCATGAAAAAGAATGAGAAGCTCATTGCCTAAATTTATAAACAAAAAAAAAAAAAAGATGGAAGAATTACAATAAAGAATTTTTTTTACGTAAGTGTTGATATTTTTTCAGCGTAAAGATATGCGTAGAAATCAAAGATATGAAATTTATAAAAGATACCAACCTTCGAATATTTTTCGAAGGCGAAAACCCAGAGTCATATATGATTCCACCTCATTTTTTTCTCAGCAACCAAACAAACAGTTAAATAATCCAAAAAAGCCTGCATAATCCAAAAAAAATGTCACAATAAAACAAAATTGTAGAAAATTAAATGAGCGAGGGAATATAAACATACCATGTTAGAATCATCATATCCATTCACCTGGATTTCGGATTTCCCCGTGGGCCATACATAACTTTGGAAACTTTGAGTCCAAATTCATACAAAGACTGGAATCATTAGAAATACCAACAATATCACTAAGATGAAAGATATTATCAAAAGATTTATAAAAATAGCGTGCCGCAACGATAGAATATTTTTCCCGTCAATTGGGGTAAAAATCAAAACTGAACAAAATGTGCCATCGTGAAAAAAAATAAAATCATAAATCATACGTCGTGCCGCTGCTGTCAATTGTCGGCGTGAAGAAAACAGGAAGAAAGAAGACTTTTCAATTGTTCAATTTCTCAACGACTGCAACACAAAACATAGAGAAAACAATTATTAGATAAATAATCAAATAACTGCTTCGGCTTCTATCTCTATTAATATATTTCTTGCCTATCAAATAAAAATAAATAAATAAATAAAAGCCTGCATAGCTACAAATCCAAATTCCAAGGATCCCATGTAAGTCGCAAACAAAAATCCATTTTACACCCCCAAATCCAACAATTATTATAAATGTTTACAGCAATTATATAAATGTTTACAGCGAGTCAGCGAAAAGGGAAGCAATGAGTTGAATATGTTCATTTTTTCGATAGTTTGTGAGAGTGATATTTGCTAGACCATCAATACGTGAAATGAGGTTAAAAAGGAATTAAAAAAGAAACATCAACTGCTGCCTGCTACAATTACTGATCGTGTATTCAGTTTTTTTAAAGAGGTCGTGTATTCAGTTTTTTTTAAGAGTGGACAGTTAATTGTTATTGGATAATAGTAAACATTTGAAAAAATCAGATCATGTATTTAGTGTTTTAAGTAGTGGACAGGTAATTAAATTATTAACTTACGTGTATAAAATATTAAAAATTAAAAGGAAAAAAAATGTCAAAATAGGAAATGACTTAAATGTCCCTAAATTTAGGTTTAGGGTTATAGGTCAAAATATCTTCCTTTTATATATAAGATTATTATTATTATTATTATTATTATTATTATTATTATTATTATTATTATTATTATTATTATTATTATTATTATTATTATTATTATTATTATTATTATTATTATTATTATTATTATTATTATTATTATTATTATTATTATTATTATTATTATTATTATTATTATTATTATTATTATTATTATTATTATTATTATTATTATTATTATTATTATTATTATTATTATTATTATTATTATTATTATTATTATTATTATTATTATTATTATTATTATTATTATTATTATTATTATTATTATTATTATTATTATTATTATTATTATTATTATTAGGGTAAATTACAAACACCCCCCTGAGGTATGGTCAAATTACAAAAACCCCCCTCTTGTTTGGATAATTACATCTACCCCCTCAACTCCTCAAATTTAGTGGAATCTTCGAGATTATATGAAATATTATAACTTTTGTACCCGTTTTATCCCATTCAAACTCTACATTATGAAGCAAGATGACCATAATATGTGACTTTTAGCTTGTATATGTCAGTTTGTGGTGCATCGGAAACTGTATTTTTTACACAAAGAGTACAAACTATAGCACATTTCACGGAATCTAGATGACTATGTTGAATTTGGCACCATAAAGGTAAGAAAAAATCATAGTTGAGGGGGGTAGATGTAATTATCCAAACAAGAGGGGTTTTTTTGTAATTTGACCATACCTCAGGGGGGTGTTTGTAATTTACCCTTATTATTATTATTGTTGTTGTTGTTGTTGTTGTTGTTGTTGTTGTTGTTGGAGAAAATACTTGATTGGAGTTTATGCCACTACAATGTCACACTTTCAATCAAGTAGTAGTATAAAAGCAAAAGAACATATCCATCAACCTTAATTGTTGTGAATTGTTTATTGTATTCATACGAATTAGTTGTTAATGACTCTAGAATGTATCTAATTTTCAACTGTTACTTGGTATGCTTTGACTTAATCCAATTGGTTAATTACCTAAATAATTTTGAATTAATTATTTGCAGGTTTATATGCATCAAGCACCATTACCACTAGCACTAATTACCCTTCTATTGAGCATCGTGAAGAAAGAAAAAAATTTTAGAGCTACAAAATAATGTGAATTAGTAATCTAATGGTCCAAATCTAACATTAAATTTTAGAAATATTTCATGTGTACACATTTAGGTGTGTAAATTAGAACAAAATATCCGATTTCCACCAATTATGATCCGAACGATATCTTTCATTATGTACTTCAAAAATTCAATTCTGAATTTGTTTGGATCGGGAATGAAATATGTATGAAATTTCGAATTCCGATCCGGTTGCAATTTTCAAAAATAATTCTGAAAATTTCGATTTTTTTCGAAAGTTACCCTTATATTGTAATATTATTATATATTTTATATTTAAGCGACAAAAATTTGGAATTTTCCAATTTTCGCCGATTCCAATTCAAAAAATTCCGATTTTGGAACGAAATTTTTCATTCCGATTACCGATTTTTTTGAAATGGATTTTACATTTTCAAGAAAATAAATCCCGAAAGTACTTATTCCGATCCGATTAGATTCGTAGTGAATTTTGTTGATTTTTGTGCCTATGAAAATCCACTCGTTCTATTGAGACAGACTACTTGTTACGACATTTGAAGTCGTAACAGAATTCTTGTGTTGTCACAGTAATTAACCTACTAAAAGCAGAATAAAAAACACAAGAATTTAATGTGGTTGTGTACATTAATAGGACTTAATAAAACACTAAAGACTCCATCTTTGTGTGATACGCCGTTCTTGCACACGACTCGAAGTTGTTGATAATCAAAGCAATTTCTCCATCCGCACTCTTGGACTCCCTTCAATGTTGAATTCCCTTCAAACGGTGGATCGACCTCTCCCGAGATCTTTTAAGCACTTCTCCCGAAACGCCGTTCTTCTTTATGGCCTGGTAGAAGAAACCTGTCCTGTTGCCACACCTGATGTGCCGACAGGGCTGCATCCTTCAAAGCCTTTATACTGGGATTTTTCTTACTAAAGCTTCATAGGACTCATATGAGGTTGATCGCCTTATATAGGCACGAAATCATCACCCTAAACCTAACTTGGGCCTAAGAAATCGATTTAACTAGGTAATAAATTGCTAATCGATTTCTACTTCTATTCTTGATAAGTACAAAAGATACCTAACTAGAATATAATACGTGGAAATAAATCTAAGTCATAATAAAAATATTACAAGAATAAGACTCTAATTAATTCCAAAATAAACATGGAAAACAAATCTTTGCCAACCTCTAATTTTCACGTATGTCGGATTTATTCAATCTTCACTAAGAGAAATCTGGTGCCAACAAATTTCATTGTAACACACCTATTCATTGTGAATTTTCGATTGATAAAGGATTGTTGAATGGTAAATGAAAGAATTTATGGTCCCGAATTCGTTTAATACAGAGGTGTTGTCTGAAGTGTTATGACACTTGAACAAACATGCAGCGGAAATAAAAGAACAATACTCAGAATTAAAAAATGTTCACAAGTAAATACTTGTGAACTTGCCCTTTACAGGACGAAAAAGAATATATTCAAATCAGTATTCCAAGAATACAAATGGAAGAGGTGCGAAAACTTCTTCCTTACAAATGAATCATTCTCATGATCATTCTTACAATCAAATCTAGATACTAAAAGAAAAATATTAAAAATTCTAGATTTCAAATAATGTACTCATAAGGAGTACGTACAACAGATCCTAGAAACACACTAAAATTCTCGAGATTAAAACTTCAGCTCTCTTTTTGTTTCTTCAAAAAAATCTATACAATTCTTGAGTCTTGAGTTTGGTATTTATAGACTTGCCAAGCTTCCACTTCTCAGCCCATGATCTGCAAGAAAACCAACCACAAAAGCACTCAAGAAAGTGGGTTAGTGGGTTAGTTAGGAAGTTAGAATAAAACCCACAATTAAACCCACTTAACATTACTTAGCCCACTAAGTCACAACACTTAGCCCACTAAGTCATAACTAAAATTTAGTTTGAAAGTAAGAGAGTTAAAAGCACTTTTGTATAAAGAACAACGTGTTTCAAACTCCCCCTTTTTAACTTTCTGATCAAAACTAAATTTTAGTTAAAACTCCCCCTGAGATATTGCTTGAACTCCCCCTGAATTTGATAATAAACAATATATGAAGAAATCAATTCAAAACAAAATTCAGCAAGATAGTTCAACACAAATTAAAAGAAATAACCAAAATGCAGTCCTAAACAAAAGTTCAGAGGGAAAATAAAAACAGAACATAAATCCAAATATTGTTCATGAAAACAATTAAAGTAGCAATTAAAGTAGAATATCCAAAGTCTCCTCAGTATCAGCTGCTGCTCCTCCATCACTAGATCCACTGCTTTCTTCTGCTCCTTGAGCTTCACCCTCATTCTTTGCTTCCTCTTCATTTACTCCTTGCTCTCTGCCTCTGGCATCCAAAGGGTGAGAAGTTCCTGGTTCAGCTTCATGACCTTTTTCTCCCCCTTTTTGATCAGAAAGAGCCTTTTGAAGCATGTCCACCATGGACTGGTGATAGGTAAGCTGAGCTAGAGAGTGAGTAAGTTGTTGCAACAGAAGATCTCTAGGAACAGACACAAGAATGTTAGGAGTGTTGTCAACATGAGGAGCAACACCTTCAGTACCAAGATTATTTTGACCTGATTCAGTTGAGAGAAAATTTTCTCCATTCCAGGGAAGATCTTGGACATGAGGAGCTCTTAGAAAATTTTGAGAAACAGTGATCATGCCTTGTGGAGTGTGAAGATATTCTGAGTCATCTTGGCCCAAATTTTGAGATAGTAAAATGGAATAGATGAGAGAAGGATAGGAAGATGAGTGGAGGGTGAAATTTTCTGGGCAAGATGACCAATAGCATCAAAGAACAGTTTGCCAAAATCCACTGGTAAACCCATCCCCAATTTGTACATGAGTACTGCATGAGGTTTAGTTACCACAGAGACATTTTTGGATGGAATCCAATTCATCACTGTGAGTCTAAACAAGACAGAATAAAAAGCAGTGAGTTGGGAAACCTTGAATTTTCTTGGGTGTGCAGGCCAACTTCTTAAACGGTTTCCAGAAATAACTTTGCAAATCTCAGTAAAATCACCATAATTATCCTCATCAATCACAGTAGGAGTTTGTAAATGAGAGTTGATAATTTTGGGAGAAAAAGAGAAGATGGAATTTCGCACAAAAACTTTGCCAAAGTTTGGAGAGTTCTTCTTTAAAAAGGAGGTTTGCAAATTTGCATAAAATTCCTTCACAACAGTGGGATCATAGGATCAAGCAATCTCAACTAGATTAAGAATTTTTCTTTGATGAAGAAAATCAGTGATCCTATGCCTATCAAACTCTTCCTTAGAAATTTTCTTTTCCTCAATGAATTGACAATTCAGGACTTGAGGACTCAAAATTGAATCAGATTCAAAATAAAAATTAGGACTGAAGGCATTGTTTACCTCAAAAGGGGTTGACAAATTCTTCCCATCTAAGTCTGGTTCTTCTTCTTCTGAGGAGTCATCATCTTCTGAATCTTCAAGCTCATCAGGGACGTATGCTGGTTCAGGTGATGCAATAGGTGGGGCAACACCTTCTTTCTGCTGAGAAGAGTCTTCAGAAGATTCACTGTCTGAATCAGAGGAGGGCAAATTTTTGCGAAAAGCAGCTAGAGGAACCTCCCAGCTGTCATCACTTTTCTCTGGTTCTTCAGCCTGATGAGGAGATGCATCTGCTTGAACTGTTGCTTCTGCCAGGGTTTCCAGAGGATCTCCATGAGGTGCTGATGGTGTTTCTTCAGTACTGGTGAAATCCTGAGCATCAACAGTAGGAATGTCAACATGCTCTGCAGATGACATCCCAGAAAAATCAGGCATTTCTTCATCCTGATAAGGAGCAGCATCCTCGGCAGCATTCTGAGGAACATTTGCTGAGACAGTGGGTGCAGCAGCATCTTCTGGAGCATGTGAAGCAACACCTTCACAAACAGGGTGTTGAGAGGCTGTTGCTGCCATGCTGGGCTGAGATGTCTCCCCCTGAGTTGATGCTGGGGAAGTTGAGTCCTTTGATGATGACTCAGAGGAGCTGGAGGAAAGAGCTTGAGCCTCTGGTGCTACAAAGGTAGGATCTCCTTCTTCATCATCAGTTTCTTCATCCACCAAATGAAGGCCTCTTGGTGGATTTGACCTAACTGGAGTACGGCCACCTCTGCCTCCTCTTCTTCCTCCTCTGCTTCCTCTTCGGGGAGAGTTTTCTCCCCTTCGGCGTTGTGGCACCGCAGTATTCAGATCTGGGAAGGGATTCATACGCTTGGACCGGCGCGTTGGAAACCTTCCGGCAGTGGAAGAGGGACCCACAAACTCGAAGTTGTCTGGGTCGATTGGGTTCAGCTCATCTCCGGGCTCAATGTAGCTGATTGGTACAGCTTCAAGGTTGACTGGATGAACGATGATGGCCAGATTTGGGTCTGCTGGTTCAGGTGCTGCAGCATCGTTGTGGACATCACCAACGGCGGCTGGAAGAGGATTTCTAGGTGGGGATGCCATGATACAGTAGACAAAAATTGCTTCTTTGTGCTTTTGATTTTTGAGTGTGAATTTTTGAGAAAAGAAGCACGAAATTTATAAGCCCTAATTTTGCTGAAGAAAGAAAGAAAAAATTGAAGTGGAGAAGGTGAAGAAGTGGTGTGCGTTTTTCTTGGAGAGAGTGTGATTAAGGAGAATAAAAGTTTTCTTGGCAGTTTAGAGAAAAACCGTGACACATGGCACAATAAGGAGTGGACTTAGTGGAAAATAAAAAACTAACCCATGTACCCATGACCCATATAAATAGGGATAATTCAAAAAAAATAAAAATAAAAACCGTAGCACTCATGAAATATTCACAAAAATAGAAAAACACATTTATTAATGATTAATAGTGAGAAAAAAATTGGCTGACAAGCATAGATATTATTATTATATATATATATATATATATATATATATATATATATATATATATTTATATATATATATTTTTTTTTTTAAATATAAATAAACTCTTATTTTCAAGTCAAACAATTCACATGGAACATGATCAAGTGTTCAGTTTGAAGGTTCCTCAGTTACTAAGATATGACTATCACAATAGAGGAGTTTGACTTATGTGAGTGTAATTATTGTCTAAATGTTTACATGAAGCATGATCACGTTTCAAGGTGAAAGACTTCCAGTTACTGATTTAGAAAATAATCCATCACAGTGAAGTCATTATTTAATGAAGCTAATGCTTCAGAAAATTATGTTGCAGCTTAAGATATTTGATGAGGTGCTGCAACACATTTCAGGACATGTTTATTGAGTACACATCCCGAGAGATTTTCTGAGTTTAGAAAACCTCTCATAATCTAATGCCTTTGTAAAGATGTCAGCCAGCTGATCTTCTGTAGGAATGTACTTTAAGCACACTATATTTTTCTCAACTATATCACGAATAAAATGATGTTTAATATCTATGTGTTTAGTTCGTGAGTGTTGAACAGGATTTTTTGAAATGTCAATAGCACTTGAATTATCACAATATATGGTCAGGGTATCACCGGTTAACCCATAATCTCCCAACATTTGTTTCATCCAAATTAGTTGACCACAACACCCTCCAGCAGCTACATATTCTGATTCAGCTGTTGAAAGAGATACACAATTTTGCTTTCTACTAAACCAAGAAACTAGATTATTCCCCAAAAAGAAACATGCACCTGAGGTGCTTTTTCTGTCACTAATATCCCCAGCCCAATCAGAATCACTAAAACCTATCAAATTTGTATTAGTGTCTTTGAAAAACTGAATCCCTAAGTCTACTGTACCTGTAACATACCTAATAATCCTCTTCACAGCTTTAAGATGAGTGACTTTCGGATTAGCTTGATACCTGGCACACACACAAACACTAAACATAATGTCAGGCCTGCTTGCTGTTAGATACAGAAGGCTTCCAATCATGCTTCTGTAGAGAGTGCTGTCGACATCTTCTGCAACATCATCCTTAGACAGTTTTTGGCTGGAACCCATTGGAGTTTTCATGTGCTTGGCTGATTCCAACTCAAACCTTTTGACCAGATTGAGAGCATACTTCTTTTGATTCACAAAAATTCCTTCACCTGTCTGTTTGATTTGGAGTCCTAAGAAGTAATTCAACTCCCCTACCATGCTCATTTCAAAAGTGTGAGACATAGAATCTACAAAAGACTGCAAAAGGTTAGCACAAGTAGAGCCAAAAACAATGTCATCAATATATATCTGAACAATAATGATATGATTATTAGTTCTTCTAACAGATAGGGTTCTGTCTGCCTCCCCTCTATTGAACTGTATTTCAAGTAAGAAGTCAGTGAGTCTTTGATACCAAGCTCTAGGAGCTTGTTTAAGACCATACAGTGCCTTCTTAAGCTTGAAAACATGATTAGGCTTGGCAGAATCTTCAAAACCCTTTGTCTGTTCTACATATGCTTCCTCATTTAAAACCCCATTCAGAAAAGCACTTTTGATATCCATCTGATACAGTTTGATTTTAAGAAAGCAGGCTATAGCAAGAAGTAACCTAATAGATTCAATTCTAGCTACTGGAGCAAAAGTCTCATCAAAGTCTATACCCTCAATTTGAGTGTATCCTTGTGCTACTAACCTAGCCTTATTTCTAACAACTGTACCTTTTTCATCAGTTTTGTTTTTGAAGATCCACTTAGTTCCTATCACATTTACATGGCTTGGTCTGGGAACTAAGTACCAAACATCATTTCTGATGAACTGATTTAACTCTTCATGCATTGCATTGACCCAGAATTCATCCTTCAGAGCTTCTGCAATATTCCTTGGTTCCACTGAAGACACAAAACAAGTGGTTCCAGTTAGTGCACATTCAGAAGATAAATTTGCAAATCTTACCATATCTCTGTAATTCACTCTCTCTTTTCTTCTGGTTCTTATTCCACCAAAGATATCTCCCACTACTTGAGTAGATGGGTGATTTTTCTGGATTCTGCTTGATGGTTCCTTTCTGCAGACATCAAAGGTTGGCTGCAATTCAGTCTCTGTATTCTCTGTAGGATGTGCTGAGTCAGATGTGGTGACACTTGGCTCAACACCTTCTTCTCTTAAAACTGGACTGTTTGTGTCTAGGCCATCTGTGGTAGAAGTGTCTTCTTCGGTTGATTCTCTTTCAGCAATTAAGTCATCAACTTCATCTTCAGCTGTTTTACTGTGGAGATCAGCAAAGTCATCAAATACCACATTTACAGATTCAATAATGGTTCGAGTTCTTAGATTATATACTCTATAAGCATGACTGTTATTAGAGTATCCCATAAATAAACTCAAATCACTTTTTGAATCAAATTTAGCTAGATGATCTCTATCATTTAGAACATAGCAGACACATCCAAACACATGCATGTATTCTAGGTTAGGTTTCTTACCATAAAGAATTTCATATGAAGTCATCATGGATCCTAATCTTAGATACACACGATTTGAGATGTGACAGGCTGTGTTGACAGCCTCAGCCCAAAACCTGTTAGACAGATTTTTTGCACTCATCATCACCCTAGCCATTTCCTGGATGGTTCTGTTTTTTCTTTCAGCAATGCCATTTTGCTGAGGAGTTTTTGGAGCAGAAAATTCATGCTTTATACCCTTTTTATTACAAAAAACAAGAAATAAGGCATTCTCAAATTCTTTTCCATGATCAGATCTTATCCTACGAACAGAAACTTGAAATTGAGTTCTAACAAACCTGTACAAATTTTTGAATACTTCAAAAGTGTCTGATTTTTCTCTTAAAAAATACACCCAAGTATATCTTTAAAAATCATCAACACATACAAAGACATATTTTTTACCACCTAGACTTTCTACCTCTATAGGACCCATAAGATCCATATGTACAAGTTCAAAACAAATAGTGCTACCAACGTGTTGCAACACTTTGTGTGGTACTCTGGTTTTGTTTCCCTTCTGGCACATTCCACATATAGGAATATCCTTGATCTTGAGATCTGGTACTCCTCTTATGGCATTGTACTTGTTGAGCAGCTTCAGATTTTTGAAGTTTGTGTGTCCTAGTTTTTGGTGCCACAGCTCTACTTCACTTACTCTTGAGCTCTTGCATGAGATGGTGTCACCTGTTTGATAACAATTATCCATTGATCTGGAACCTGTTAGTACACAATGATTTTGATTATCAAACACAGAACAACAGTATTTATCAAATTCTACACGTAGATCATCATCACACAATTGACTGATACTGATGAGGTTTGACCCCAATCCTTCAACATGTAGGACATTTGAAAGTTTTGGAAGTCCCTCAATACTGAGTGTTCCACGTCCAACCACTTTGCCTTTAGCTCCTCCTCCATAGGTTACACGTCCTCCATTAAGTGTGTGGTAGTTTGATAGAAATTCCTTTGTTCCAGTCATGTGCCTAGAGCATCCACTATCAAAGTACCATGAACCTGAAATGTTAGCATTTAAAGAGGTGTATACTGCCTTGCACAAACGTTTACCTTTGGGAGTCCATATTTTACACTCCTTTTTGGTAAATTCTACCTTTTTCTTTGAGGTGTTCCTTGGAGTGATGTGGCTTATTTTATACAACATTTTGTCACTACTGAGTTTTTCACAAAATGGACGAATGTGTCCTGGTGAGAAACAGTAATGGCAAACATAACCTCTTATTCTGGAATCTGGAGTGGTGACTGTGGACTTTCTGCATTCCTTTCTGTTTGCACCCTTTTCTTTTACAAAGACAATTTCTTTCTTCTTTACTGGCTTCATTTTTTTTTGAACCCTAGCCCTTCATATTTGTAGTGCTTTTCCATTGACACAATCTCTTCGAGTTTAGTTGTGCCAGTGTTCATCTTCTTGATTGCTAGAGTTGCCTTTTTGAGTTCATCTTTCACCTTTGCCAGTTCAAGATCCTTCTTGGTGATTCCAACCTCCAAATGTGTGATTTTTTCTTTGAGGGATGAATTTTCCTTGTTGGCTGCATCTAGAGCTTGAGTCTTCTTCTCCAGGTCAAGAGCCAGTTTTTTACACATTTCTTCCTCATCACTAGCTGCTTCAATACTGGATTCTGCTGCATTTAAAGAAATAGAGTTTAAACATGTATAATGATTAGTATTTAACTCAGAAATTTCAGTTACTGAAAGTGTTTCAGAAAGTGTTGCAGCATCCAGAGAAACTCCTTGTGATTCTGTTTCAGAAGCATTTCCAGTGATATATCTGACAGAGAGAGCTTGTTTAGTGGATTGCTGTTCCTCTGTCTGTTCAGGTTGCTCTTCCTCCTCATCACTGACAGCACAAATCAAACTCATTCCTCTTCTTCTCAAGGTATTTGCACATTCATTAGCATAATGTCCAAATCCTGAACAAGCCCTGCATTTAATATGATCTAAGTTAGGTGGTTCAGAATTTGAACGAACAAATGAAGAATTTTTTAAAGTGTTCTGAGAAGATGTTTGAGGGAATGTTCTCCGTGGAGTAGATCTGTTCCGGGGCTGAGTTTGTCGATTTTGCGGAGAGCCATCTGGAAATAATTGTCTGGGCTTGATTCCACTCCGCCTGTATGCCCTATTGAATCTCTGAATTTGGAATGCAACATTGTTGAGACATTCCTCTGCATCATCATCATATTCCGGAGCAACATCTTCCTTCTCCAATTCTGCCTGGAGTGCATTTGAGATAGCCTTTCCTTTCTCCTTTCTTTGATCTTCAAAGTTCATCTCTCTAGACTTTAGACTACCAATTAATTCGTCCAGCCGTAGAGATGATGTATCTTTGGCCTCTTCAATAGCAGTAACCGTCATGCTGAACCTTTCTGGAAGAGTTCTCAATACCTTATTCACCAGTGTCTCGTTGCTCAAAGGACCACCTAAGGATTGAAATTCATTAGCTAAATCAATCAACTTCTCATTGTACTGAGAAATTGTTTCAGTTTCTTCCATTCTCAGTCTCTCAAATTTGGAGGAGAGTAATCTGAGCTTGGTTCTCCTGACACTATCTGATCCTTCACAATGTAGCTGTAGAACCTCCCATGCATCCTTTGCAGAAGTGCATACTGAAATCAATTTAAACATTGTTAAATCTACTGAATTGAAGATTGCATTTAACGCTTTTGAGTTTTGATTGGCATTTGATAGATCATCTGCTGTCCATCGTAATTCTGGTGTTGGAAATACATCCCCATCTGCATCTGTGATAGTTGGTGCCTTCCATCCAGTGAGAATGGATCTCCAGGCTCTCTCATCAATGGCTTTAATGTATGCCCTCATCTTGACTTTCCAGTAGGTGTAGTTTGTGCCATCAAGTACAGGAGGTCGCATAGAAGCAGTCATCTGAGTATCCATCACGAATTCGTTTCTGAAAAAGAAAATAGGAACAAACACTTAGTATATGTCAAGTGTTGGCTCTTGATGCCAATTGAAAGAATTTATGGTCCCGAATTCATTTAATACAGAGGTGTTGTCTGAAGTGTTATGACACTTGAACAAACATGCAGCGGAAATAAAAGAACAATACTCAGAATTAAAAAATGTTCACAAGTAAATACTTGTGAACTTGCCCTTTACAGGACGAAAAATAATATATTCAAATCAGTATTCCAAGAATACAAATGGAAGAGGTGCGAAAACTTCTTCCTTACAAATGAATCATTCTCATGATCATTCTTACAATCAAATCTAGATACTAAAAGAAAAATATTAAAAATTCTAGATTTCAAATAATGTACTCATAAGGAGTACGTACAACAGATCCTAGAAACACACTAAAATTCTCGAGATTAAAACTTCAGCTCTCTTTTTGTTTCTTCAAAAAAATCTATACAATTCTTGAGTCTTGAGTTTGGTATTTATAGACTTGCCAAGCTTCCACTTCTCAGCCCATGATCTGCAAGAAAACCAACCACAAAAGCACTCAAGAAAGTAGGTTAGTGGGTTAGTTAGGAAGTTAGAATAAAACTCACAATTAAACCCACTAAACATTACTTAGCCCACTAAGTCACAACACTTAGCCCACTAAGTCATAACTAAAATTTAGTTTGAAAGTAAGAGAGTTAAAAACACTTTTGTATAAAGAATAACGTGTTTCAGTAAACGTAGTAGAAAAGCAAAAAGTCAGTCAAACTAAACTATAATCGTTGTGAACTGTTTATTTTATCCATAATAATAATAATAATAATAATAATAATAATAATAATAATAATAATAATAATAATAATAATAATAATAATAATAATAATAATAATAATAATAATAATAATAATAATAATAATAATAATAATAATAATAATAATAATAATAATAATAATAATAATAATAATAATAATAATAATAATAATAATAATAATAATAATAATAATAATAATAATAATAATAATAATAATAATAATAATAATAATAATAATAATAATAATAATAATAATAATAATAATAATAATAATAATAATAATAATAATAATAATAATTTCCTTAAAAAGAATAGAAAATTCAGTTCTATCAACAGTCGAAATCACGCATCCACTTCTCTCCATTTTATAAGCGCATCTTTTTCCTCCCCTACAAATCCTTCTTCACAAAGTGTACGAATAAGGACAGAATATATATGATTATGAGGTTTCAACCCTTTGGAAGGAAGCAAAACCAATGTCTGCGTGTTTCAAGAGGCAACAACAATTAATCAAGATTGTCATCGTGTACTCATTCATAGGGGCAGCCCATTGACGCATTTCGTCGAACATTTTAAGGGCAACGGAGTAATGTTTCATCTTGACATCCACTTGCAATTGTTTGGTGAATTCGATAACGGATGGCTGTGGCTGCATTTTTGCCATTTGACAAAATAACAAAACGACATCATCTACTTCATTTATAAAATTCAAATCTATTCTGGGTTTACGTGAAAAGGAAATTTTGAACATAATAAAGAAAGGGGATCAGCGAAAATACCGTAATGGTGAGAATATGCAGCAGTAATTGCTCTACGAATAAGCGTTATTTCAGTTCCTCTCATCTTTTCAGCTATTTTATGAAGATAATTTTAGTGAAGAATGAAGTGGTACCTACGGGATAATTACAGTTTTGGTCCCCCAAGTTTGCATTTTTTTCACTTTTGGTCTCTCGTTTACCGCCGTCAACAAAATAGACACTAATGTTGTCACATTTTAACACATTTAGTCCCTGCGTCTGTTTGACCGTTAAGAAGTAACGGTCAACGGTTGAATTATTGTTGAATTTGGAATTTTTCTCTCACAAATTGTAATAAGACCCCTGTATTCTTTCGAAATATTCTTAAAACCCCTAAAATTTTATCGAACCATAATTTAACCCTAATTTCATCAATTAACCAATGACCCAGATTTTTCAAAATTGGGTAATCCGACGTTGACTTTCTTTTTAACTTGGTTGACTCTTTTTTCGATTCATTTTTTTTGCCGTTGTTGAATGTCGGGTTAACAACGTCGACATTTTTTTTCTTGATTTTTATTTAAATTGTTGAGTAATGGAAAAATATAAATTAAAAAAAAAAGTCAAAGCTGATATTCAGAGAGAAAA